TTCAAATTCTTTTTCAATTATTTTTAATGCTTCTGATTAGTTTTAATTATTAAAAATATTTTAATTTAGTTTGTTTATTTATTATTAATAAAAAAAATTTATAAAAGATACACGTACTCTCCCACCCTATTAAAAATACTCTTACCCCTCTTTCTCCCTTCTCTCCATAATAAACCATCGGTTACTGCCTCTCCACCGGCCACAACCTCTTCACCAGATCTATACACCTACCACCTCAGATCTAGGGTTTCGACGGATAAAGAACAAATGTGTCGTTGAAAGGGATTTGTTGGGTTCAATGGTGTTACAGTTTTAAACGAAACTATGGTCTTCAAGTGGTGATGACGGCGCTAGGGTTTCAATTGAAGATCAGGGGGGATCAGAGGAAGAGAAACCTACGGTGGTGATGTTACTTCTGATGTGGTCCACATCTCCGACGGAGGTGGTACTCGTTAGATGTGAACAGAGAAATAGAAAGAGGTTTTGGTCTAGCGGTCAAGAAGGTTTCCGGTGGAGGTTGTCAACAAGTTCGGTGGTGTTTCATTTTCCAATGGTGTTACAGCCGGTTCCCGGTAGTGGTGGTGGTTAAATATTCTTCAACAAAAGACGAGAAATAGTGCAGTATATGAAATCAGAAAGATAAAAGATAATTCGAAAAGTAATTAAAATAATTTTTAATAATTAAAAGTAATAAAAATACAAAAAATAAATTAAAAAGGGCATTATTGTCATTTTATTTCTCGAAAGGGATGAAGCGTGCAAATTTAAACTAACGAGAGATTAGAAGTGCAACTTTTAACCAAACGATGGACGGTCCGAGTTAATTTTTCTAGGAACTGAATGTGCCTTTTAGCACCTGGACGATGGATGATTTGTGTTTGTCCGTATTACTAAGGTGGTGTTTGTTTTTTGTCCGCAGATCTTCTTGGCCTCTTCTGTCTGCGCGGCGCAGACCACGCGCAGACACTAGCCTTCGCTGACTGTTTGTTTTTTTGAAGACTGCAGACCTAAAAATGTCTGCGCGCCCTTTTCTTGGCGCAGATGTGGACCAGAGTCTTCTAACATCTTCATACATCTTTATCCTAAAAAACACATATACTTTATTTTTTTTTTAGTTTGTTTGAATTTATATTTATTCCAACTTTACTAGTGATAAACAATTTGAAAAAAAAAAAGTTACAATACTTAAAAAAGAAAAAGTTCGACGACACAAACATGATATTTTTGACAAATTTATAAATAAAAGTTTATTACAATAATGATCATTGAAGTTGTTTATATAAATATGAAAAAAATATATATATATTCTTATATTTTTTGTGCCAAATTTTATAAAACATTATTTAATAAAGCATCGTCAATTTCTTAGAAAAAATATTTATGACACGTTTTTAATTGATTTAATTGAAAAAATCGAAATTTATTTCCGTTCATTTATATATCAAATTCTTTGATTCCTAATTACAATGTTTAGGCATAACTTTGCGACCAAAATTGTTGGTTTTTATCAAATATATACGTTAATTTGTACCATTTTTATTTTTTACTTTTTATACAATAATACATAAAAGTTGATTTAGATTTGTTAATTATTTATAATAAAGTCATAAATATATTAAAAAATCACTTTGTAGTTTAAAAAAAAAATCAGTTTATTTAGATTTTAGTTTATTTTAGTAGCATGCAGATGTTAAAAAAACAAACAGTCTTCTTTTTTTAGACTGCAGACGATTGGTCCACCACTTCTGCTGCAGAGGTCTACAGATGTGGTCCGCAGACTGCAGACATTTTGCCTCAGAAAAAAACAAAAAACACCTAATTTTTCGTGATCAACTTTTTATGTGGGTTAACAAGATTACAAGACCGGCCTGGCCGTGTATCTTGAAGTGGGCTAACACAGGCCCCTTAACGGTTTACTACTTATTTTTTAGAAACCTTTTATTTACTCTGGTGAGGAGATTATTTTATAAAAAAGTTTTATTGCAAATTGTGATATTCATGTATTCTGCCTGTTGTCTAATTGAAAGGCTGTGAAATGCCCAGCAAACACCCTGCAACTAAACTAGTAAACTACACCCCAATAATCTTATTGCATCATAGATAATCTTCCAATTACCAAATCGCCGATATTACCATCTTCTATATCTTTTTCTTTTGATCGAACCTATCTAACTTTATTCGTATCCTGTAAACCATGCTTTCCATCTCAATCCCAAAATTTCAAGCTTCAAATTTGTAAAAACGATGCAAGCTCTGAGTGTATGCCCATCAAACACTGATGGTTTCTTGAATCGTGAATCGCCCCCTCATTCTGGGAGGAGAAAAGGTAGAAACCCTAGTTTTTTCAGGGGTGTTAGAAGTGGGTTTAATTATAGGGAGACCAGTGATGATTTGGGATATGGATTTCCTTGCAGATGCTCGAGAGTTAATCTTTATGTGCTTTGGAGACCAAAGAAGCATTCAATTTGTTCTTCAGTTGTCCCCTTGGCTTTAGCATTTGAAGAACAAATAGCTGTGGGTAAAACAGATTCAAATTCAGATGGTGAAAACAAACCAGAAGATCAGAAATTATTGGTTGAAAACAAGGGCAAAAGGGTCGATACTCGTGCATTAGCATGGAGCTTACGAGCTGCAAAAACCGTAGAAGATGTAGAAACAGTGCTCGGGGACAAAGGTGATCTTCCTCTTCAAGTTTACTCTACAATGATTCGAGCATTTGGCAAAGATAAAAGGGTGAATTCCGCCATTGCTCTTGTTGAGTGGCTAAAGCTTAGGAAACATGCTTCCAAATCCTTTCCCGGTCCTAACCTCTTCATCTACAACAGCCTTTTGGGCGCCTTGAAACAAGCAGAAGGATTCGATCAAGTAGAAAAAATCATGACCGATATGACCCTCGAGGGTATTTCACCCAATATCGTGACTTACAACACGTTAATGGGGATTCACTTGGCTCAAGGCCACGAAAAGAAAGCTCTCGAGCTTTTTAAAGAGATACAAACAAAGGGTTTATCTCCTTCACCAGCTTCATATTCCACAGCGTTGTTGGCTTACAGAAGAATGGAAGACGGATTTGGAGCTCTGGATTTTTATGTCGATTTCAGAAACAAGTATCAGAATGGTGAGATAGGAAAGAACGATAAGAATATAGATTGGGATCTTGAGGCTGTGAAGCTAGAAGATTTTGTGATACGAATCAGCTACCAAATCATGCGAAGATGGCTAGTACAGATCGAGAATACCACCAGCAAAGTGTTGAAACTTCTAACTGTTATGGATCAGGTCGGTCTAAAAACGGGAAGGTCTGAACATGAAAAGCTCATATGGGCATGTACCCGTGAAGATCATTACATTGTTGCGAAAGAATTGTACAAAAGGATACGAGAGAGTGATTCAGAAATAAGCTTATCGGTTTGCAACCATGTGATTTGGTTACTTGGTAAAGCTAAAAAATGGTGGGCAGCTCTTGAAATCTACGAAGATTTGCTAGATAAAGGACCAAAACCAAACAACATGTCGTATGAACTCATCGTTTCCCATTTCAATTTCTTGCTGACTGCTGCTCGGAAGAAAGGGATTTGGAGATGGGGTGTTGGATTACTGAACAAAATGCAAGAAAAAGGACTAAAACCAGGGAGTAAAGAGTGGAATTCGGTTCTAATTGCTTGTTCGAAAGCATCCGAAGCTTCGGCTGCGATTCAAATCTTTACAAGAATGATCGAAAACGGTGAAAAGCCCACGATTATATCATATGGGGCACTTCTTAGTGCTCTTGAAAAGGGGAAATTGTATGATGAAGCAGTTAGGGTTTGGAAACATTTGATTAAAATGGGGGTAGAGCCGAATTCATATGCGTATACGATCATGGCTTCGATTTATGCGGCACAAGGGAAGTTTAATATAGTTGAATCGATAATCCGTGAGATGCCGGTTTCTGGGGTGGAGGTAACGGTGGTTACTTTCAATGCGATTATCAGTGCGTGTGCCCGGAATAACTACGGTGGTCCAGCGTATGAATGGTTTCAGCGTATGGAGGTGGAGAATATTGAAGCTAATGAGGTTTCATATGAGATGTTGATTCAGGCACTTGTAAAAGATGGGAAACCGAAGGTGGCGTATGATATGTATTTGAAGGGTCGGAGGAAGGGGTTGAGTTTGTCGACGAAAGCTTATGACACGGTGGTTGAGGCGGCAGTTGACGGTGGTGCGAGTGTTGATTTGAGTTTGTTAGGGGCTCGGCCACCGGCACCGGCACCGGAAAGTAAGAAAAGGACGGACGTAAATCAAGAATACGTGGCCATTGTAAATGACTAGGGATTCATTCATAAATATCTCGTTTGCTTTTTGGAATCTCTTTAATATCAATTCACAGAAAATAGCTTTAAATATTCCACGATGTTTAAGATTGTTTGTAGGAAAAGAGATTAATTTCTTTACGTACTAAAGTTTTTTCATATTTAATTCTTTTTTACTTATTTAAGTATGTTGTTTAAGACTTGTGAAATTATGATGATGACATTTTCATAAACCGCATTTTCTTGGAGTACGATTTAAGATATCATTTTACTAGATTGAGTGAGAACTTAATACAAAAAGTATTATTATATTATTAAATTGCTATTTTTGAAGTGGTTGTCTTGTCGACATATAGCTATATTAAAACAATACTTTTCTATGACATAGCTATATTAAAACAATGAATCTATTTTATCAATTTATAAAATCAGTTGTATAATATAATCAATCAAAAAACGTAACCATAAATACCGATAATGAATCTATTTTATTACATAATTAGTAATAAATACTGTATTAAATATCATCCTATCTTTTCTTTTTACTTTTCTTCTTATCCATATGAAATTATAATATACGTAAAATTAATTAAATTTTTAGATATTTATGGATAGAAAAATGGATAGAAAGATAATTAAAAAAAAAGATATTTAATTTCTCTACATATAATTAGTGACTTAAAAAGTGATCGATTATAAAACAAACGAATCAGTTAAGAAACTGTACTAGAAATTTTAGCGCATGTCCGTTGATAAATCTAGACACTCGACGGTTACTCAACTGCTCGTTGTGTAATACCCTCTCTCGCTAAAATATCGCTTATGTCGCTGGCGATTCTTAGTTAAAGTTCAAAAACTTTACCAATCGAAGAGAACAAACAACCCATGTACACTTATAAACATTGAATTCACATTACAACACCAGTAATCTTCAAGATTCCGACCAGTTTCTGTTGGGTTTTCTTGAGATCCGAAGTTCGTGAAGAGGAAGGAAGAAAAAGATACAGAAAGCTATAATGGAACCTCCGAGAGGGCTTTTGTTGCATCTGTGGAACTTCATCTGTTTCTTGCCTTACTTCATTGGCCTTCTGCTTGTTGGCTTTCTCAAAGGTCGCCACTTTTGATCATATTTGAGTATTTTCTATTTAAAATTCTCACGAATTAACTTGCGATTCAAATGGGTGTATTTGATTTCAGGCGCCATTGTTGCCCCAATAGTTTGTGTTCTTATGACAACTGGAAATTCCGTGATTGTTCTCGGACTCTGGCCAGCGCATGCTGTCTGGGCTTATTTTTGTATTTTAAGGTTCTTTTCGTTTTCCTATTTAAGTTTGCTTTTTTCCCCATTTTGTATGTAAAAAGTGCAATAATCTTGTGTATTATTTTCTGCCATACTACAGTGCTAAACGATTAGGTCCAGTGATGAAGCTTTTGGTCTGTATACTGGTTGCACTGCCCTTGGCTTTATGGCCTGTTTGCGTTGTTGTGGGTAGCATTCTTGGTGGCTTAGCGTACGGCTTTCTTGGACCTGTTTTTGGCACTTTTAAAGCCGTCAGTGAAGGAAAAACCGATAAGTTTCACCATTGTGTCATCGTAAGTAAACACTAAACCAAATTGCTTCAAACTGTGTCGTTTCTCTTTCTTTTCAGTTGATTTCAGCGTTTTTCTCTCAGGATGGAACATGGGATACTATCAAATGGAGTTTAACTTTCGTTAGGGACTTATCGGATGTATGTCTGTATTCCTACTTCTCAGTGATGGATGATCTCCGGAAACAAGACCCTCCCGATGGTAGAATTGAGATCAGGTTTGATACATTTCATGAAAAATAATCATTTTTATGTTTGATTTCGAGTTGTTTAACTCAATTTGTGGGGCATATTGCAGGGTGGCTTATGTTCCTGTAGCAATTTTGGTCGGGGTTCTAGGGTTTGCAGTTGATTTTCCGGTGATCACAGTTATGGCGGCGCTAAAAAGCCCATACATGTTGCTAAAAGGGTGGCACCGTTTATTTCACGATTGTATCGGTCGAGAAGGACCCTTTTTGGAGAGCATATGTGTGCCATTTGCAGGTCTCGCTATCTTATTGTGGCCTTTTGCAGTCGCCGGAGCTTTGTTAGGATCCATGGTGGCTAGCATCTTACTTGGCTTTTATGCCGCCGTCGTTGCCTATCAGGTTAATTAATATCTGATATCTCACATATTCATATATTTTACAGTTTGACTTTTAAAGTCAACCAAACTTTATAAATTCTTCCAGGAGTCATCTTTCTATCTGGGGCTTTGTTATGTGGTAGCTGCATTATCGATCTATGATGAATACAGCAATGATATTCTCGACATGCCTGAAGGATCTTGCTTTCCAAAGTAACATTTTTTTACCCTCCAATTATCTCTAATTTACCAATTTTTAACCATTGTTAACATTTTTGGTACAAACAGGCCTATGTACAGACGGAATGGTGGTTTGCAACTTGGTTCAAGAACGCCATCTTTCTCAAGGCCGGCTTCCTTCAAAAACCCACCATCTCGGACTAGTTCATTCGCGACACCCATGATTGAGTTGAAGCCATTGGTGGTAGTTACTTTACTTAAACCATTTGGTTTATGGATTATATAATTATATATTAATATAGTTTGCTAATGTTAATCCGAATAGTTGCTTGATAGCTTATTTCAAGAATGTCGTCGACAAGGTGAAATTATGGTTTTGGAAGGATTAATAACAGTTAAAGAAATTGATGATGCAAAATCCGGCAAGGCTAGTGGAAGAGTGATTAGTGTCGGTCTCCCGGCTTATTGTCTCTTCCAAGCACTTCTACGGTCTGCAAAAGCCAATTGTACTGGTATATTAATAGGTAAATACAGTACAACCTGTTCTGTTCTGTTATGTCTTGTTTTCTACGTCCCGTAATCAATCTCATTATACTTTCTTATAACAAAGATCGTGTTCTTTCATTTTTGTAATCCAGAAGACAATGTGACGGAGATAACTAGTGCAAATAGGCCAAAAGATACGTTCTATGATTGGTTCTTGAATCCACTTTTGGTCATCAAAGACCAGATTAAAGCTCAAAATTTGGAGGAATTGGAAGAGGATTACTTGGGGAAACTAGTTCTATTGAGTGGTGATGCTGAGAAGTTGAAAAACTCAGACATTGGTCCACCACCGGAGTCCGAGCTAAGGAGGGCTGAACTTGATGCATTGGCCCGAAGGTAATAACATGTGTTTTTCTGTTCATTTATTTTGTACTTATAAATGTAAATTTTGTGTGGAAGACTTCAAGGAATCACAAAGTCGATATCAAGATACCCGACATATAGGAGACGTTTTGAGAACAGCATAAGGGCGATATTGGAAGAACTTGATCGAAAAAATGGCAAGGGGCGTCGATCGGCATCGGGATCTGGATCGGAAAGTACGTTTGGTCGGATGTTTAGTAACCAAAGATCTTTTAGAACGAAAACGAGTAATCAAGAAGATGATCAAGAGACAGAAAGAGATGGTGATGTTGTATAATTAGGTTTTACTTTTGTTCTATCTTGATCAAAAGGAGGTAACATGGGTATTTTATATTTGGATTATTAGAGGCCTAGAAGGTTAGCATGTAACCAAATAGTTTGTATATGCAAAATTTGGCATGGCATGTTTGTATCTATTTAAGCTCCCTGTATTGGAGAAAGTGTTTGAGATTACAAAGATGATCTGTTATAGCATGTTTTTGTATCTTTTATATGATGTCCACATAACATTTATTTTAATTTTACTAATTACTTGTCAGTATTTGAATTAATAAATAATCTTTCATCTTGACGAAACCCTAAGCATCTTCAACCTAAATCATCTTCTCGATGAAGCCAAAAGCATATATGGTATGAAATTTGATCCTGTTAGCAAAATAGATTCCAAAGCCAGAAGCAAAATGGATTTCATCTTCTTCGGTAGTAAATACATTCCGCTTTTCATAATTGATAATTTGACTATATGATTTGATGGGTCGTGTATAGTTCTATTTTTCAATTCATAATTTGTTAATATGTATGTATGTCACAAACTTCGACTCAAGAAAATCCAAAAGAGGCACTTCAAGTTCTTAGGCACATGAAGATGAAATAGGGTGTATTTGGATTCCTTTTGAAAAGTACCAATTGATTTATTGGTTTTTCAAAAGAAAAATCAAATATCTTTTTATTTTTTTCCTTTTATTTATATTTTTATACATTTAATTATGATAAGTGTCTATTTTTATTTTTTCCATAATCTTTTAGGATATTTTGGACAATTTTAAACGGATAGAAAGAAAAAGAGTATATTTAATTTTCTTTTTAAAAAGTAAACAAACTTTAAAAACTGTTTGGGAAATATATAAATGCTTTTGATAAGCTTTTTACTATCCATAAGTCCGGAGGGAGTCGGTCAGCATATGCTCGGCAATGATGGCATACACCATCCCCTGACGGTGGCATGTCAAAAAAGATAAGAAAGACATATTTGTGCCGAGGGGAGAAAAGGGCTTAACGGCTCCTTTTTGTGTTTATACAACAAACAAGGATCATTCCTCAATCTATGGCCCAAAAACCCTCAAGTTAGCTAAAAGTCAACTTGGTCAAAAAGTCAACGGTCTAAAGTCCACCAGCCGCCCACCACATCGTGGCCAAGCATTTGCCACGTCATGGTGACCTCATGACAAAACAATCGTGAAGACTGCTTATCGCCACGTCGTGGTGGCCATCCCTCCACGTCGTGGAACCTGGTCAGCTTATTACATTAAACTCTTAATTGTAATGCTCGTTTCTCATGTACATTTCCTTATATTATTTAAGCTTATTAATTTGGAATTATGGCTGTATGCGGGGCGTAGATAGCCAGTTACGCGAGGCGTAATTCATTAAGCCCATGTGGGGGTTTTATGCCTTATGCGGGGCGTAACCTAGGCTACGCAGGGCGTAGCCGCGCAGGGTACAAACCTTAATTTTTGGGGTTTTGAGCCCTATTTAAGGACCTTAACCCCTTGAGGCCCTTCTTATCATCAACATCCACCCTCTTGAGCATCTAACTCGAAACCCTAATCCTCAAGAGCAAAACTTGGGCCTTTTTGTGTGTTTTTGGTGCATTTTGAAGAAGTAGAAGTCCAAGCTTGTAGATTGTTGAAGCTCAAGCTTGTAGATTCAGAGCCTACATTACATTTCTCAACTCCAGAAAGTATAAAGCTTGAATCTTGTTGGTCCATGTGTTAGATCTCATTAGATTCTTGATTTTCATGTTCTTTTGTCCCATAATCTTGAGTCTTATGAGTATGAGCTACTCCAGACATTGTGATTGTCATTTCTTGTTGATTATGAGGTTAAGGAGTCATAAAAATGGGATCTTGGTTGTCCTCATTCACCCATGCAAGGGTTTTTGGTCATTAGCGAATGTTATGGGGCTAAGGCTTGATTTTGAGCTCCATTTAGCCATGCAAAGGCATAAAGTCATCGACTTTATCACTTAAGACGTTTATTAGGACCAGATCTGAGCAATAGATGTTTGGTCTATATGGATTAAGAGCTAAAAATGGAATTGGCTTAACTACGTAGTACGTAGGGCATAAATTGGGCTACACCCAACGTAGCCTGATTGATCCCGACTCTTACATCTAAGGCTCTACGCAGCGCGTAGAACTAGTTGTACGCCACACACAGGTCAACAGAAGGTTGATCCTTAACTTTTTGACCAGTTTGACTTTTGGTTAACTATGAGGGGTTGAGAACTTAAAAGGGAAAATGGTCTTTTTCCCAAATGGGGATTAGTCTTGGTTTTTGGACTTGTTAAGTTGGGATATTACCTTAATTCCTAATTAGGGTTATGTTTTTGGATATGTTTAATGGGAGAGACTTTAGCGCCAGTAGCTCGTGTGTGAGATTTATCTGTTACCGATCGAGGTGAATCTCTTCACTGTACTCATGGGTCGAAGGCATCAATGTCGACCTATTGGATTATGTTTGTAGGATGTTAGATGTCTTTGTGACTCTTGCGTGTGTTTGTATGTTGTATATGGGCGGGCCCGATTGTGCATGTTCTATATGGCCTTGGCCCGGTTATTTGGGCGGGGTCGGTTATGCAGTTTGGGCGGGGCCCGTTTATATGTATGTTGTATGTGGTATTTTAGGGGAAACTCACTAAGCTTTGTGCTTACAGTTTTATGTTATGTTTCAGGTACTTCTAGTTCTAAAAGGAAGAGCTCGACGTGATTGCATCGCATCCACCAATGTTCCGCACTCTGTGATTTGTTTTGTACTATAATAACTATTTGATACATTTTCATATTGTTAGGCGTGCCAAACCCAACAAATAAAGGGGGTATGATATACTCCAAAAGAACACTACTATATTGCACTAAAAGGTAGTACAAGGCAAGTAGGGTCGATCCATAGAGACAGGGGACAATCATTCTACACCTCTTTACGCAAGGTATTTTGGTCACCAACAGTAAAGAGGGGGTTTTGAACGCAATGATTAGAACAACTAATTAAAGACAAAAGTAATCGACTAAATAAGTGAATTAAATTCAGAAATTGTAAGGACTCCAACTCTATGTATGACAACTTAGCAATGCGATTCCAAAATGACATGATACTTGCTCAATTCTATCTAAGTTGGTACTTGAAAGCATTAACAAGCTCTAACACTTCCCATTCACCACATTAATTAACCAAAACAAGCTCTTTGATTAACCCTAACCTTACTAACCTAATCTAAACAAGCTCTTAGAATTAGATTAAAAGATTGCATTAAGCTTTATGTGAATGTTCCCAACAACACCCAATACTCCTCATAAGATTGGGAGCATAAGAATGTGTGAATAAGATTTACGCTAGAATCACTTGAAGAAATTCCATTTAGTGCTTGTTACTTGTTCTATTTAACAAAACAATTACGGATTTTGCATAATAGATAACTTGGATGATTCAACCCTAACTCAAATGGCCAATAAGAACTAGAATCGAAATCAAACTTTCGATTGAAATAAAATCAAATTCACTAGATAGCATTTAGAAACAAACACCAAGTTACATAATTGAAATCTCACACAATAGTCAATACATAAAGTTGGAGAGTCTAGGGTTCTAGCCACACATGACTAGAACAAAACACAAATCTAAAAATGAAAGTTAAAGTCTTACAAATTGAAATCCAAACTAAATCCAAGTGCTTCCAAGTATTAATTGCCTTCCAAATCTTCTAGAAAATCCCCCCTGAACTCCTAAAATCGACTTAACTTCTAATGGAACCGGTTACAACTTTTATAGAAAGAAGAAAAATTGTTTTTAACTCATGACCACGTTTACACGGACCTTGTAAATTAACACTACCATTTACATGGCCGTGTAAATACAAGGCTTCGATTTACACGACTGTGTAAATCTCTAAAAGCCAAAATCTTTAATTCTTTGATATCTTCCTCCTCGGTGCTCCACAAGTCCCGAAATTTTGTCCGCAACTCTTATTTACCTCCTCAAACAAAATCCTACCTCCAAAAGTCCCTGAAATATCACAAAAATATGTGAACGAAATTGTCTCGTGAAAAATCCCGAAAAACATGCAAAATGCATGATTTTAAGCCTATATGCAATGCACTTTTATGAAATAAATCTACAAAATGGGTGCATAAATGCACCTAACACATACTTTGATTGTTTTTTTGAAATGAATGAATGGATGTTTTGGGTTAATTTAAGAAAAATTTTACTCGGTATTTTCTGGACGTTACATTCATCCTTCAAGCTACACATCCATACTTCCCAAAAGGCTTTCTTACACCCAATGAGTCATAAAAATCGTTGCTTTATAGACATGCATGTCCAATACATGTCTTACCCAAGCTAGGTCACAACAATGATGGAAATAGGGTCAAGATCTCATCCATGAAGCCAAAACCCAGCTAGACATCAGATATGGTGAAACCTCAAAGGGACCTCAAGGATCCATAAAGTTGCCAATTTTATTGAATCCATCCACTCACACCCTCCTAAACAAGAAGTAAAATTCATAAAAACCTAAATCTAGAAGAATAATGTAACGCCCTGTCCCGAATCATTTCCCATTTGGGGGTGTGGGTGACGTAATTTAGATAATCAGGGTGCTCGGTTTGAGTTTTGGATCCAAGGGGTATTTCGGTAAAGTGTAAGCTCGGGATTTTCTGGAAATTGGATTTTGTTCGGGAAATCTTAAGGCGCGTATGAACTGATAAAAGCAAGGTTCTAAATGGTGTGAGGCGTGGCGTGACGACTAGGCCAAGCCTCAGGCTTAACGAGCCATGACGAGTCGTGACGTTTTTCAAGGCGTGATGTAAGGCGGCAATTTTGTATTAATTTATAATTATATTACCACATAAATAAAAATCTATATTAAATATAGCTACTTTTTAGAAATGTTATATCAACAACTAATAACAAAAAGTTAACAAAAAACACAATACGTGTATCCTCGATTAGAAAAGACATAACAAAGAGCAAAAAAAAACGTGTCTCAAACGAAAAAAACACGCGCCATAACGTGCCATGGCACGCCATATCAAGCTTTGCCACATGTCACGCCTAACAACAACATTATGAGGCTTTTCGTAACGGCGAAGCCACGCCTCACGCCATGGCACGCCTTGACGCGCGCCATAGCGCGCCTTTTTAGAACACTGGATAA